TCCTCTTGCTTCCCTTCTTTTCTGCTTAGTCTTAAAAGAAATCACCGAAAGCTTGTCCAGCGAGTTCAACGTCTGGTTTTTGGATGATGGCACTATAGCTGGCACCGTAGACAATCTCTTGGCAGATATCAAGAAAATAAGGGAGCAAGAAGTAAGCCTGGGTCTTGTCCTGAATCCTTCCAAGTGTGAAGTAGTTTCTTTCAACCCAGACATCGTAGCTAGAATAAGGTCGGCCTTGCCTGGAGCCCATGTCATTAGGGCCGAGAACAGCACCCTCCTTGGAGCCCCCCTCGGGTCTAAATCCATTGAGGAGATCCTTGACAAGAAAATCGCAGACCTTAGGAAGATGGAAGACAGAATAGGTGACATCGATGCCCACGATGCTTTTTATCTCCTCACCAAATGCCTATCCCTTCCGAGGCTAACCTACTTTCTGAGGTGCGCCCCATCTTACGACAGTCGAAAGCTTGAAGAGTATGACTTCTTACTGAAGACCATGCTGGAAAAAGTTGTTAACCTCTCCCTCAACGAATGCCAGTGGAAACAAGCCACTCTCTCTGTTAGGCTCGGTGGCTTGGGTGTCCGCACCGCTACCAAAATTGCTGTCCCAGCCTTCCTGTCTTCCTCCTCAGCATCAGATGACCTGGTTAAGGACATTCTACCTGACACCCTGAGTGATGTAGCGGGGATACAGGACCCCCACTACACGGAATGCGAACACGAAATGGGGTGCCATGGCCGACCCAGCACTCAGACCAGCCATGCCGAAAGTCAAGAAACAATCCAGTTGGGACAGTTCCATTGTAGACAAAGAAGCCACAGCTTTGCTGGAGGCAGCAACAACCCCCAGTGATCGTGCACGCCTCACAGCTGTGTAGGCTCCCCATGCAGGGAACTTCCTTTTGGCAGTCCCTATGTCTGCGACAGGCACACGTCTTGATCCGCAGGAGCTCATTATTGCAGTCGCTCTCCGTCTTGCTGCCCCTATCCACACTGTTCATAGGTGTATTTGCGGCGAGGCAGATGCTGACGAATAAGGATTGCATGGCCTGCACTGTGGAAAATCTGGTGGTTGGCACACTAGACACGACGAAGTCAATGACATCATTAAAAGAAGCCTTGCCTCTGCTCAGTGTCCAGCGGAGAGAGAGCCCCGCAACCTACTGAACCATGACTCTGTTAGCTTTGCCGGCCGACCAGACGGAATCACACTGCGACCGTGGAAGGGTGGCAGACAGTTGGCATGGGACTATACTTGTGTATCCACCCTGGCAACCACATACATCAACCTCTTTGCCGGCACAGCAGGAGCCGCGGCGACCCGCAGAGAAAGAGACAAGTCAGCCAAGTACAGGGAATTAGATCATCGGTACAACTTCGTTCCAATAGGGTCTGAGACCCTAGGCCCATGGGGAGAGAGTGCAAGAAGGTTTCTTAAGGATCTTGGTTCCAAGCTCATTGACACCACAAGAGACCCTAGAGCAGCTAGTCTTCTCTTTCAGCGCCTCAGTGTCGCGATCCAGAGGGGGAATGCTCGCTGCATCCTCGGTTCCTGCCCGGCGTCAGAGGAGTTCAAGGAAATCTACAGCCTCTAGGAAGTGAACTTTTTTTGGGTTCCTCTTAATGTTAATTTTTTGTATAAAATCAGATATGTAACTGTATAACCTTGCATAATAAAGTGTACACCATAAAAAAGGGGGGGTGGTGGGAGAGGCGAACACTCTTACGTATTCAGAGTTAAATGGCAAGTTTTTCCCTGATTGCTCTGTGTTCCCTTCTCTGAGGCTGTGGGTCCCTATAATTGCACCAGAGGTGGTATCCCCCCTATATATATATATATAAATATATATATATATATATATATATATATATATATATATATATATATATATATATATATATATATATATATATATATATATATATTAGTATATTTTGGTAGCAGTCTTTCCTGTAGACATATATTATTAAATATGACCGAAAAAGTAAGATTAATAATTCTAACACGAATTTTCTCAATCTTTCGTACATTTCTTTTCACTGTTGGAGGTAATTCAAAAATCAATTCTCCAAAATTCATTTTTATTTCTAGTCTGACGCGACACTTGAGCGCGTTTCGTAAAACTTATTACATTTTCAAAGACTTTAGTTAACACATACACAACTGAATAGAACTTACACATCTCCGATTTTGTTTATATCTACATTTGAGTGAGGTGGATGGGGTGAGGTGGTATTTAATAAGGTATTAATTTCATCAACACAAGCCAGAACATGAAACAATGGGTATTGAATAGAAGTGATTGTAGAAAGCCTATTGGTCCATATTTCTTGATGCTTCTATATTGGAGCGGAGTCTTGAGGTGGGTAGAATATAGTTGTGCATTAATTGGCTGTTGATTGCTGGTGTTGACTTCTTGATGTTTAATGCCTCGCAAACGTCAAGCCGCCTGCTATCGCTGTATCTATCGATGATTTCTGTGTTGTTTACTAGGATTTCTCTGGCGATGGTTTGGTTGTGGGAAGAGATTTACTGACGATTTACTATAAAACCAGAAAAACGGCCAGCCTACTCATGAGAAACTCTCCAGACACAAAACAGAACGCTTTAAAAGAGACTAACGTCGTCTATGCCTTCAAATGCCCTCTTGGGGACTGTAAGCTCAAAAAAAAACAGTATATAGGCAAGACAACAACATCTCTTTCTAGGCGTTTAACGATGCATAAGCAACAGGGCTCCATTAAGGAACATATAATCTCTTCCCACAACCAAACCATCGCCAGAGAAATCCTAGTAAACAACATATATATATATATATATTTATATGCGAACAAGCCTGAATGGTCCCCAGGACAATATGCAACTGAAAACTCACACCCCAGAAGTGACTCGAACCCATACTCCCAGGAGCCACGCAACTGGTATGTACAAGACGCCTTAATCCACTTGACCATCACGACCGGACATAATGAGGTGATAGCCGAGGCTATTTGAACCACCCCACCGCCGGCACTCGGATAGTAATCTTGGGCATAGCATTTTACCAAATCACCTCATTCTTTGGGGCACACGTGAGGAACACAAATGCGAACAAGCCTGAATGGTCCCCAGGACAATATGCAACTGAAAACTCACACCCCAGAAGTGACTCGAACCCATACTCCCAGGAGCCACGCAACTGGTATGTACAACTGGTAAAATGCTATGCCCAAGATTACTATCCGAGTGCCGGCGGTGGGGTGGTTCAAATAGCCTCGGCTATCACCTCATTATGTCCGGTCGTGATGGTCAAGTGGATTAAGGCGTCTTGTACATACCAGTTGCGTGGCTCCTGGGAGTATGGGTTCGAGTCACTTCTGGGGTGTGAGTTTTCAGTTGCATATTGTCCTGGGGACCATTCAGGCTTGTTCGCATTTGTTAATATACTTTCGTATATTAATATATCTTCAGAAGGAGTGAAGATGTATAAATATACAAAGATGTAATAATATACATACTCCTTCTGAAGATGTATTAATATACGAAAGTGCTTAAAGAAATTCCTGTTTCAATTTTCCTCCGTGGTCTGACACTGTCATATATATATATATATATATATATATATATATATATATATATATATATATATATATATATATATATATATATATATATATATATAATTTCTCAATGTAATGATCTGTGCAGACCATAGTTCCTTCCCCTTCCCCTTCCCTTCCCTTCCCCCCGTTTTTCCCCTCCCACGATGCCTCATTGCTTTTCCTTCCCCTCCCTTTCCGATTGTCAGTCCGACCCTCTGGTCATTCTTCCCCCCCCCCCTTCCCCCTTTGTTGGCCGTTCCAGTCATATAACTATTCGAGTAAAATTATCTCTTAGGCAGGTGGTCAAGTCACTTGTCCCCTCCTGTTCCCCAATTTTATTTATCTAATCCCCCCATTCTCTGGTCTCCAGTCCTTGTCCAATCCCCTCCCAATCTCTTTTCCAATCCGTCCAAACCGTTCCTCTCTAGGTCCTGTCCACTATAGCCAGTGACGAATTGAGGGGGTTCCCTCGGTGCAATAAACTCAGAGTCAGCCTGAGTCTGGGGCCTCTGGTGCCAAGTTCCTACATGTGAGCATGGGAACGATTGAAAACTCTGGCAAAAGAGACAGACCCTTATGCTCATGCCTATTCCTAGCCTGGTACTTGATTGGTTGAAGCCATGGATGCTTAGGAGGCGGGGTTAAGTTCTTGGCCTATGTTGGCTTAGGACTCAAGAGGCAGAGTCCCCCAGGGTAGTGCCTGACAATTCCATTGGCCAAGCCTCCAGAGCACCCAGTTTATTTTGATTCATTGGCCAAAGTTTTGGAAGGCGGGGGTTAATTGAGTTAATTGGGTGGGTGGAGCTTGTTGTCCACTGGTAAGCTTGTTGAGAAATATTAGTTAGTGTGTCTTGGGCGTGACTGGGGGTACAGGTCAGGTGACCTGAGGGCAGCCATCAACATCTGGGCCGGTTGCAGGGATACGGTAATGTGTTTGTCTGAGTTTTGTACATCAAAGTAACATACACTCCATGTTCCATTTGCCTCTTAGAAATGTTTTATTTGAGTAGGATATCCCAAATTTGATTTCAATATCCGTGTATTAATTTAAATAAAATATATTAATGTATTTGTATTCACCTAGTTGTGTTTGCGGGGGTTGAACTTGGCTCTTTCGGCCCGCCTCTCAACTGTTTACTAACTACTATTTTTTCCCCACCACACACACCCCAGGAAGCAGCCCGTGACAGTTGATTAACTCCTAGGTACCTATTTACTGCTAGGTAACAGGGGCACTCAGGGTGAAAGAAACTCCCCCCCCCCCCCTGCTGGCTTGTGCGACCTAGGGTTGGAGATACGATAAGATAGCGTGGTCTGAACGTAACTAGCTGGACAAAGTAATTGAGAGAGTTATGGAGAGAGGAGGCTTAAGCTGACGTTGCAGTGTGAGTAACCAACGAACAGGGAGGGAGTCAGCGATGTTCTTCCACGCCTCAATGTAAGTATTGCTTGAAATAGGCTATGGCAAGGGAACTGCTTCCTGCACGCAGAGATAAGTTTTTATGTTTTTTTGTTAAAATAACTTGTCTTTGCGGATAATTGGAAAGTTGCTGACGGGGGTTAACCCTTCCCTCCCCCTCTGTTACCTTACAACTACTATTCCCAGTAGAGGACTACATGATGGAGGCTACGCTACTATTCCCAGTAGTGGACTACATGATGGAGGCTACGCTACTATTCCCAGTAGTGGACTACATGATGGAGGCTATGCTACTATTCCCAGTAGAGGACTACATGATGGAGGCTACATTACTACTCCCAGCAGTGGACAACATGACGGAGGCTATGCTACTATTCCCAGCAGTGGACTACATGATGGAGGCTACATTACTACTCCCAGTAGTGGACTACATGATGGAGGCTACATTACTACTCCCAGTAGAGGACTACATGATGGAGGCTACATTACTACTCCCAGTAGTGGACTACATGATGGAGGCTACATTACTACTCCCAGTAGAGGACTACATGATGGAGGCTACATTACTACTCCCAGCAGTGGACAACATGACGGAGGCTATGCTACTATTCCCAGCAGTGGACTACATGATGGAGGCTACATTACTACTCCCAGTAGTGGACTACATGATGGAGGCTACATTACTACTCCCAGCAGTGGACTACATGATGGAGGCTACATTACTACTCCCAGCAGTGGACTACATGATGGAGGCTACGCTACTATTCCCAGTAGTGGACTACATGATGGAGGCTACGCTACTATTCCCAGTAGTGGACTACATGATGGAGGCTACATTACTACTCCCAGTAGAGGACTACATGATGGAGGCTACATTACTACTCCCAGTAGAGGACTACATGATGGAGGCTACATTACTACTCCCAGTAGAGGACTACATGATGGAGGCTACATTACTACTCCCAGTAGTGGACTACATGATGGAGGCTACATTACTACTCCCAGCAGTGGACTACATGATGGAGGCTACATTACTACTCCCAGCAGTGGACTACATGATGGAGGCTACATTACTACTCCCAGCAGTGGACTACATGATGGAGGCTACATTACTACTCCCAGCAGTGGACTACATGATGGAGGCTACATTACTACTCCCAGTAGAGGACTACATGATGGAGGCTACATTACTACTCCCAGTAGAGGACTACATGATGGAGGCTACATTACTACTCCCAGTAGTGGACTACATGATGGAGGCTACATTACTACTCCCAGTAGTGGACTACATGATGGAGGCTACATTACTACTCCCAGTAGAGGACTACATGATGGAGGCTACATTACTACTCCCAGTAGAGGACTACATGATGGAGGCTACATTACTACTCCCAGTAGTGGACTACATGATGGAGGCTACATTACTACTCCCAGTAGTGGACTACATGATGGAGGCTACATTACTACTCCCAGTAGTGGACTACATGATGGAGGCTACACTACTATTCCCAGCAGTGGACTACATGATGGAGGCTACGCTACTATTCCCAGCAACGGACTACATTCTGGCTACGTTAATATACCAAAAAAATTTCATAACATACATCATCCCACCTTTTCAGGGAGTATTACCCAAGTACCGACCATGTTGGACGCTACCTCCAGCAACCCATGGAAGGTCATTAGTAAAAAGTGTCCTTTAAATTTTAGGCATATGATTGCTAATGAACCTAAAAACTAAAAAGAACAATAAAAAAGAATAAGGTGGTGTCAACCGAATTGTACTAGCGTAAATAAAGGGTATATGCGGGCGTGGATTGGTGGGAATCGTCAGGTCATGGTGTACAAGGGGATTAGTGTTGGCAGTGTAGATGCTAATATTGACCGTTTCTTACCCAATCCATCCCCTTTTGTGACAAAAAAAGTGTTTCCTGCAAAGATAAGAATACGTACAGGTACTACTTGCCTAATTCATATCACATCCACCAGATGGCTCTCTCTGAGACCAACTTGGGGTTGCACCTACATCTTGGTCTTCATCTAGCAGGTGTTCTACGTCGAATGGAATAGGAAGACCTGTTATTGGTACTGCTGGAGAGGAGGGCGTGAAGTGTTGAAAGTGCTTGGAGAGGACGTTGTGACCAGCGTCGCCACCAGCCATCAACGTTACGTTAGCAGCATGACCAAACCACACACTAGAAGATGAAGACACGACGACGTTTCGGTCCGTCCTGGACCATTATCAAGTATCAAGACATACAACTTTAGACTGGTCCAGGATGGGCCAAAACGCCATCGTTTCTTCATCTTCTGGTGTGTGGTTTGGTTATCATATCTTCCGCCATGTTATTGTGACTCATCGCCTGCTTACGTTAGCATGTTTGGTAGAATGGAAAAAGACAACGGTGACAACCCCACTTTATCTCCCAACGTTGGCCATACTAAAGTGCAACGTGAACCCCTGCTGACGACTGCACGTTGGGAGAGGCAATGCCTCAATGCACAATCATAGACGTATAGTAGGTATTTAAGGTTTCTGGGACTGAAAGCAGGAGACAAACTATTGTCGATCATAACGAGAATCAGACTCTGGTTGTAAACACTCCCACGTCTCCTTTAATGCTGAAGGTAAGAGAACATCAGAATTGTGAATTGGCAATATGAGTTAAAAGGGTTTTAGTAACTTGAAAGATTTGATACCAAAATCAACATTTTAGCCCGAATACTTAAGGATTAAAGCTATATTTTCAATCACAGCTGTTTCAAAGACCACGTGACCTTTATATTTCCGAATAAAAAATTATTTCTAAGATAAATAAAAATTCGGGAGAGGTGGAGAGGTTGAACGACCCCATCCCGACCACGGCAACTCACGAACTGGCTAAACTGGTCAGTGGAACACGTCTGTGGTGGGTGATCTGATCGCTAATTGGTAAGCAGCCTAGCCGCCTCAATGAGTATTGATAGCGGAAATAGGTAAATCTAATTTAACAACTACTTCCGGTTTACATTATTTAGAGATTGGGGAGACAGATACTGCTATTATTTGGGTCCCCTAGAGGGGTGGGTAAGTTAAGACACCCTGAACTAAACCAGTGTTGCAAGTTCGCCCTGATCATAGTTCCCGGGAGCTCCCCGGAGTACCTCTCCCTCAAGCGGTTGTGTGTGGGGGGGGGGTTGATAGAATACTGAGCTCAATGACGGACCTATGCAACCTGCTGCTTCACACTCAACAGGTTTCCCGCCTTCACAGGACGTATTCCTCAGTAAGGTGAATCTTCATTCGGGGTAAAACAGCTCGTGCACTGTGTGCTAAACCCACCCATATCGTACCTGGTGCTGTTGTTGTTATTGTTTTAGATTCAGCTATTCAAAACAAATTGTTCCAAGCAACACGAGCTATGGTGAGCCCGTAAGTGGAGGCTCTTTAAAGCCATTATCTGTATTAATTGCTGATACAGGAGAACTGGGGATGGTGCTGGTTATACCAGTTATGGAGCTGGTGGGGTTAGTGTAGAACTCTTTCCATCTTTTCATTGGGTGAGCTTGTTGTTGTTGTTGTTTTAGATTCAGCTACACAGAACAAAAAGTTCAAAGTAGCACGGGCTATGGTGAGCTCGTAAGTGGAGACTCTTTGGAGCCATTGTCTGTATGAATAGCTGATACTGAAGATCTGGGGATGGATGGGGGGTCTTCATGGTGTATTTCAGCCTCGGAGGGCTGGCTGTAACAGTTGGTGGGTTTATGTTGACCTCTAGGTCTTCCGCATTTTCTTTGGCTGAGCCATGCTGTTGTTTGGTGAGGTGGCCTCCATAAGGAAGTCTTGTATCGAGTAGGTGTTGAATTTGTGTTGTGGCGGTGGAGCTCCTACTAAGATTTCCTCGTCTGAAGAGTACATAACATCTGCAGTAGGTGATTTCGACTTCCGTCTCGCAGCCTGAGGTAGGCTCAGGTGTCGTGGCATAGTAGTTGAAGCTGTCTCAGGAGCATTGGTGGTGCTGTTACTATTTGTAGACAGCACGTCTACATGATGCATCTCCTGAGATCGTGAAGATAGGAGTGTTGGGAGCTGGGGGAGGGAAATACCTCTATTTGTGCCACCCGGGTCTTGGGTGGTTCTGGAGTTTGTGTTGAGATCGACCTCTTTGACTGAGCCTTGCAGCGAGTTGTAATGGCCATGCTGTTGTCGGAGTTTGGTGAGGTGGCTTCCATGAGGAGGTCTTGTATCGAGAAGGTGTTGTATTTACTCTGCGGCGGTGGAGCTCCTACTTAGATTTCCTCATCTAAGGAGTTTGTAACATCCGTAGTTGGTGGCTTTGTCTTTCGTCTTGGAGTCTGAGGTAGGCTCAGGTGTCGGGGATTAGAGGTAGAAGCTATTTCAGGAGCGTTGGTGGTGTTGTTAGTATTTGAAGACCGCACATCTGCTAACACATCTGTTGAGATGGTGATGGTAGGAGCATTGGGAGCTGGAGAGGGAAATACCTCTGTTTGTGCCGGTCAGGTCTTGTGTGGTTCTGGAGTCCGTGTTGGGATCGACCTTGTGGTCGTCCTGGTGGTAGTGGAGGCAGTGAGACTTGCGTCCGTGGCGATGATGGTGTCCTGGTCGTTGGCTAGGTACAGCACATTGAGTTCCTTGACGAATAGTTGATTGTCTGGTCCGGCGAGCCTCACCACTAATCAAATAAGACAAGGAATAATGCCTGCATGTGATGCAAGGGACTGTGAGGGTGGTGGTTGGTTCTTAGGTTCCAACCCAAGAACTTAGGTTGCTTAGGGTGCTTAGGTTTGTTCTTAGATCTGTTGGGTAGCACTGGTACGGCCACTGTTTGGTAGCACTGGTAAGGCCACTGTTTGTTAGCACTGGTACGGCCACTGTTTGGTAGCACTGGTACGGCCGTAGTCTGCATCTGGCTTATAAAAGGGAGGCTCGGCAACTGGTCAGGTTCAAGATCTAAGGTCGTGGCAACTTGCCTCTGGGTGGTTGACGGCATGATGGTCTTCTCTTTAATCTTTTTCAGTACCTCCTTCCTTTTTGTGGAGAGGTAGGAGGTGGCGGCGTGCTGTTCTCCACAGTTCGTGTATTTCTTGGTGGTGGCGGAAAAGTCCTTGCAGTTGTGATAGCCGGAGCATGAGCTGCACTTTGCCGTTTGTTCTGGGCATTTGTTGGAGAAGTGAAGAGAACTGAAGCACTATGAGAAGTGCTCATAGCTGAAGCACTTGTAGCCATGTCTCAGGTTGAAGACCTTCTCCATGGCGATCTGGTTTGAGGAGGTGATTCCGAAGCACTTGAAACCGTTTTTCACTGCTTCCTGGGCCTGTTCTTCTGTTTCGAAGGTCATCTTCATCCTGGGTCGAGTGGTGGCATTAGTCCTGATGAATAGAGCTGTCTTCACTCTCAGCGTAGGGTTTACTTCGTTCACTTGTCGCACTATGGTGTCGGGGACCTCACCCACTAACCAGCAATTTAGCCTGTTGACAAATATTTTTTTCCCAGCAGTGATTTGTCTAGTCTAGGAGGAATTGGTGAGAAGTTCGCCTCTAGTTGTGGGACCCGGCGATTCGGATCCAAGGTCATCTGTAGATCCACTTTTGCTGCCACGATTACCGTGGCCTCTTTATTATGCATATGGACGTTAACTAATCCCACCGATGTTGCCTTGTCAATGGCTGCTGCAATTTCACGCTCAGATCCCATGTTGACTCCGAGGAGTCGCACTTTCACTTTGAATGTCATGCACCTGGTGATTTATTGATGACTGATGAAGATTAAGCCACCCACGAAGTGGCATGGGCATGAATAGCCCATAATTGGTAATATGTTTGTTCAGTATATGTATACAGTGTGCTGAGGTCGCATTTAATTGTTAGTCTGTTATCGCGGGGAGGGGGGGGGGGAATCCTTGACAGTATTTATGAGGGTGTCCAGCTGCAGGACATCTTTTTTGACCAGGAGAGTGGCAGTGTTGATGGCTTCATAGTGGTTACTGCAAGACTCAGGGACTCTTAAAGGTCTTCTAAGGTCGTTGGTTGCTTCACATTCCAGGAGATAGTGACGTAGAATCTTTTCTGTGATTGTTTGGCAGAAGATGCCTTGTCTCTGTCGGGGTTCACCAATCTCCCAGTTGCATCTGTAAGCTAGACGTAGTCTATATAACCGAACTGTTATTTTCCTGTCGGTTCCTTTTGGGACGTTTAACCTTTCTAACTTGGTGGCCTGAAAATTCCATATTGCAGAGGGCGAGCCTTCAATATCCCAACAGCTCATTTCGCCCCCAGTGATCTTTCATTTTTGTTCTTTTAATTCATATTGATGCATGCAAATCAGCAAGGTAACCATATTATTCAAGCCAGTCCAATTTTGTTATTAAATACCCTATTATATGCAAACATGTCATCCATTGTAATAACATGAATAAATACACACTTACATACTATTCATATGGATAATCCAGGGTGTTTATGTCACATTGAAATATATTAGTATTTATTATTAATACAAAAGCTATGTTTATGATGTCACACTTAAAAATATAATAATTCAACACCATTCACATAAAAATGCTATAATCATGATGTGGGAAATTTCACCCACTATATCTATATTATTATCTAAGAAATGTATTATTTCTATATCATATCTAAATTATATCAAAATCATATCAGAATTATTTCAAAATCACTACAGATTCATTATATCCTACGTCTGGATCCTACATGACAATACCACCAATGATCACATAG